TCTTTTTTAATCAAGAAATTTTCCTAATTTTTTGTCTTATCTAGATGACTTGTTAGACTACAAGGTAGGTGTACGCCAGACCGTGTCTTGTCGTATCAGGCTTCGCGATGCTGCGCCAGTTTCGACAATCCACGCCTGGCGTGTACACCTACCTTGGCCTGCGGCGCTAGCCTGCCTTTGGCAGGCGGCTTTCCTAGTCAAACCGTGGGTATAAGCGTGATCTCCACAAAGATTAGAATTGAGTGATCAAAATCTTCAGTAATGGGACTTAACTTTAAGTCGGGGGTCAGAATGGGTTCTATTTGCATCATCAGCACCCTCCAAAACATAGGAAACGATAGGGAACTTGTCAAAAATTTAAAAGTACCCAAAAAAAATTTTTCTGCCGTTTTTTAAGGGTTTTTTGACTTATATGACCGAATAGATTGAGGTAGAAAGCTGAATTTTGGTGTGTGGCGAGCCAAGGACATACCTAATGACCCTGCAAAATCAAGGCCTGATCGGCCGAGCCGTTCAGGAGGAGTAGTGCACACAGACACACACACACACACACAGACAGAAAAAGTTTTTTAACCCCACTGGAGTAACGGGCTTCGCTACCGCTCAGCCAATTACAGCGATTCTCTCATTTCATATCACCCTGACACCTGTTCAGAAATTTTTCTTTATTTCTACGTACAGAAGTCCATTCCTGCAAAGGTATATAGTCTTAGTCAATTTTTAAAATTTACTCAAAATCCTTAAACTATTTTAACAGTTGTTTTTCTTCAAAAAATCGACGGTTCTTGGGCCAAAAGTTGTCCGATTTCAATGACATTTAGCTCGTTGGAAAGGTAATTAAAGTCCCCATCTTTTGAGACTTCAAGATTTATTATGTCTCACCTAGTCCGTATGTAGTTGAGAAAACACTCTAACTTTAAGCTGCATATATCAACTTGGGACCCTCTACACTGTATAAAAAAGTGATTCCCGATCAAATGCGGCTTGGTTTTGATCTTAGAACGGAGAGGTCCATTACTTTAACCCACCCTGTGATACAAGGAGGTGCCAGTGTCAAGTTACGCCACTCAACTTCCGTCAAATTCATTGAAATTTGGTGTCTCAAGTTACCCCGCACAGTTACCATTTTCTATAAAAGTCAGTATTACCCGACGAATGATGGGTTTCCCTCAAAACCAATGCTACATTTAGAATGTTGAAATAATAGGGTCGAAAGATACTGCAATCATTTGGGTCTCAACAAGACGTGTTTCGAGTACCAAGGGAGACTTGTGACACTTCTCTAAAACTGTTGAATTTACTAAAATTTAAAAATTGTCAAAGAGCTGACCAGCTTGGTCCTAACCCGCCGTTCAAACGCTCAATCGTCTTTCCAATCAAGTATGAAGAAAAGTGCTAGGGCAGTTTTGACCTCCGAATGTGCCGAGCAAGGTGGCAGCTCCAAAAAGGTGAAAAAGCAGAAGTGTCTCAAGTTACCCTTGCTGTCTCAAGTTACCCCGGTTTACGGTAACACGGGCTTTAAACAAAAATCCTCCTGTGCTAGGTGTTAATCTGCAACAGTGCTTTTTGGCCCGTCCCGTTTATTTTTTGCAAAAAATATGATGGAGGGACGGGCAAAAAATGACGGAGGGACGGGCATTATAGTACGACTCGCTACGCTCGCTGGGGGGCTTCGCCCCACAGTGGGCGGAAACACCACTTTCGACGCGAAAAAGTCCAAGTGTGAAAACTTAAGTCAGTGATCAAAATTTTCCAAAGGAGGTTCAAAAAACTATGCAGAGAGCGAATCCGGCATCGGTTTTCCGATAGAGAGCTTCATTTCTCCTCAGGAAGGCTCAAAAGTCGAAGTTTTCATTTTTCTGTCAATTTCCCTTAAAATGTAATGGACTTTGTAATTAATTTGTGCCTTTAGTTGTCCATGTAAATAAAAGCTGGGCACAGATTCGTCTAAAGCACCTTCTGGCGATTCCAAAGCCGGTCTGGGATAGTAATTTGGCCAACAAATGACTTATCTGCAGCCATTTCAGTGAAAGTTGGCACAAAACTTGTAGGTTTTTCGTTTCTTTGGGCGGCATTAAAAGCCCTACAGAGCCCCACATCCGCACTAGGCGAAATCGATAGAAAAAAGTGTCCTCTTCACAATGGAGCAGAAACTAGCCACTCATACCCACTCTGCCCTTTTTGGGAGCCAAATTTCTATCTGTAAACAGCGCAAAAAAAGCAGTTATTCGACATTTTATTGCCCACGTGCGGTGCTTCACCTGGCTGTAAGTCTATCATTTCTCATTTATACCTATGGTATGCGCTGACATTTTTTGTTTGCCTTGTCAAGACGAATCCTTTTCTATAAACAAATGTCGATTTGGACAATTTTAAAAATTCACTCAAACCTTTTGGAAATATAAATAGGGCATTCCATTTGATTAAACAAGGTAGGTTTACGCCAGACCGCGTCTAGTCGTAACAGGCTTCGCGATATCTCGCGGCCTGTTCCTCCAATCCGCGCCTGGCGTACCTACCTTGGCCTGCGGCGCTAGCCTGCCTTCGGCAGGCATTGGCTTGTCCATCGTCGGTTGCTTCTTACGTGTTCCATGCTGGGGGGCTCCGCCCCCCAGACCCCCCTTGATTGGCTGAGCGATAGCGAAGCCTGTTACTCCAGTGGGGTTGAAAAGTTTTGTCTGTCTGTCTGTCTGTCTGTCTGTCCGTCTGTCTGTCTGTCCGCACTACTCCTCCTGAACGGCTCGGCCGATCTCAATGAGATTTTGCACACTTTTCGGGTATGTCCTTGGCTCGGCACACGCGAAATTTCACTATCCTAGCTCAACTGGTTCAGTTTTTATAGCCGAAAAACACATAAAAAACGGCGAAAAATCGAGTTTTCTGCAGGTAGATCACCTCTGGCTAGAAGAAAGGGGGGTCTGGGGGGCGGAGCCCCCCAGCCTCGCCAAGTTAAAAAGTTACAAGGGTCAAGATCGTGTTATCTGTAGATGAGGCAACTCTTTCTAAAATAAAGGGGGGTCTGGGGGGCGGAGCCCCCCAGCATGCAACACATAAGAAGTAACCGACGATGGACAAGCCAATGCCTGCCGAAGGCAGGCTAGCGCCGCAGGCCAAGGTAGGTATGCCAGGCGCGGATTGGAGGAACAGGCCGCGAGATATCGCGAAGCCTGTTACGACAAGACGCGGTCTGGCGTAAACCTACCTTGTTCTAGTAAAAGTTGCTTCATCTACAGATAACACGATCTTGATCCTTGTAACTTTTTAACTTGTCGAGGCTGGGGGCTCCGCCCCCAGACCCCCCTTTCTTCAAGACAGAGGTGATCTCCCTGCAGAAAACTCGATTTTTCACCGTTTTTTAGGTGTTTTTCGGCTATAAAAACTGAACCAGTTGAGCTAGGATAGTGAAATTTCGCGTGTGCCGAGCCAAGAACATACCTAACAAGCCTCCAAAATCTAAGCCAGATCGGCCGAGCCGTTCAGGAGGAGTAGTGCACACACACACACACGCAGACAGACAGACAGACAAAACTTTTCAACCCCACTGGAGTAACGGGCTTCGCTATCGCTCAGCAAATAAATAGGAAATCTAAACCTGTTTGAAAACCTCGTTTTTAAGCTAGCGCACAAGCCTGATTTCTGGTTTTTTCAGTGTAGTGCAGTTTTAAGTGTGAAACTACTTTAACGACAGGTCTGCAGAGGTTTGTGATTCATGCCATTGTGTTCGTATTTCTACAATCGTTGGTTTTGATTGACAAGGTAGGTTTACGCCAGACCGCGTCTTGTCGTAACAGGCTTCGCGATGTGTCGCTGCCTGTTTCTCCAATCCGCGCCTGGCGTACCTACCTTGGCCTGCGGCGCTAGGCTGCCTTCGGCAGACAATGCTTGTCCATCATCAGTTACTTCTGAACTGTTGCATGCTGGGGGGCGCCCCCCCCCCCCCCCTTCATTCTAGATAGAGGTGCTGCATCTACAAATTACACGATCTTGACTCTTGTAACTTTTCAACTTGTCGTGGCTGGGGGGCTCCCCCCTCTCATCCAGACAGGAGAAGTCCACCTACAGAAAACTTGATTTTTCGCCGTTTTTTAGGTGTTTTTCGGCTATTAAAACTGAACCAGTTGAGCTAGGATGGTGAAATTTCGCGTGTGCCGAGCCAAGAACATACCTAATAACCCTGCGAAATCTCAGCCAGATCGGCCGAGCCGTTCAGGAGGAGTAGTTGGCTGAGCGATAGCGAAGCCTGTTACTCCAGTGGGGTTGAAAAATTTTTCCTGTCTGTCTGTCTGTGTGTGTGTGTACACTACTCCTCCTGAACGGCTCGGCCGATCTGGCTGAGATTTTGCAGGCTTATGAGGTATGTCCTTGGCTCGGCACACGCGAAATTTCACCATCCTAGCTCAACTGGTTCAGTTTTTATAGCCGAAAAACACCTAAAAAACGGCGAAAAATCGAGTTTTCTGCAGGTAGATCACCTCTGTCTAGAAGAAAGGGGGGTCTGGGGGGCGGAGCCCCCCAGCATCGACAAGTTAAAAAGTTACAAGGGTCAAGATCGTGTTATTTGTAGATGAAGCAACTCTTTCTAAAATAAAGGGGGGTCTGGGGGGCGGAGCCCCCCAGCATGCAACACATAAGAAGTAACCGACGATGGACAAGCCAATGCCTGCCGAAGGCAGGCTAGCGCCGCAGGCCAAGGTAGGTACGCCAGGCGCGGATTGGAGGAACAGGCCGCGAGACATCGCGAAGCCTGTTACGACAAGACGCGGTCTGGCGTAAACCTACCTTGTGTACACACACAGACAGACACACACACAGACAGACAGACAGACAGACAAAACTTTTCAACCGCACTGGAGTAACAGGCTTCGCTATCGCTCAGCCAATAAAGTTTCTTTCTCTTTTTTCCACATTTTATGACCTGTTTACGCAACGCAGACTAACGTCCTACCTCTTAAGGAAATAAAAGTGCGTCAATTGCAATCGTTTTATTTGGATTCTTTCAGCGCCACAGCAAGTCCAGGATCTCCGCGCCAGTCGCGTGAAGAGTCGTCGCCTTCGTTTGCAGTGGTCCCTGCCCTCCAATTTAAATTTCAACGAAAAGTCAAGTTTCTTTCGAGTAGAGTTGAAGCCAACTGATGTCAGCAAGCCTGTTCCTAGATCTCAAGACATTCCATTGGAGGAGCAGAAAGACCTTTACTCTTACCCGATCGCAAAGCTAGAGCCTAACACCACCTACACAGCGTCCGTGCAGATTGTCACCGACAAGCCGGGTGCAAAGGCTGTCATTACAGTCATCACCGATCCGTCGAACGGCAAGGGTGACAATGACGAAGAAGACGCCGATGAAAACGATGGTATTTCATTTAAAGAATTAATGCGAAGAATTTCCAATTCTTAACGATTCAATTGTTGTAAAAGATTTGCAGTTTATGTATATCTTTGTAAGCTCTTAAATCTCAACAAATTTGGAGGCGCTGCACCAATGCAGACATTATTAACATAATACATATGAAGAAACTTTTTTAAGTCATATGTCAACGGGTAAAGGTGAATGTATAACGCATTGATGAAAGAATAAAGCTTTGAAAAGATTGAACAATTTCTCGAAGCTACAAACATAACTTTTTACTCAAAAATCACAAACTATAACCCCAATTATTTTAATAACGCTATGACAGACCTCTAAAAAAGTCAAGGATACCTGCACAAATGTAACCTTCGATCGGAAATAAAGGGCTGAATTCTACTCATAAGCTGAGCGTTGGTCGGGACAAAACAACCAGGTCGTCAAAAGCACCAGATCCACAAAAGTGCCAGGTGTCCGCACTGTTTAAAAAATTCTGAAAATTCAGATCAATTTTGTCAGACTTAGCAGTCTTAATCTGTAAATCAGACTTTCGTCTAAAAAAATCGGAGTTTTCGTCATAGTTTTTGGACCCTTCGTCTGAAAGCTTGGTTCAGACTCGAAGAGTCCCGATATTTGTACCCATTCTCTTAATTCAGATGAACTTGCGTCAGACTTTTTAGACCTCAAGAGTCTGAATTTCGGAATCAGACTACTTTCTAACATATGTTCTAACAAAAATGAAAATTTGACAACTTAAGTCAATTCTAACATTTGGTTAACTCACAATCAGTCTTACATTTTATTCAATCCGACTCCGTTTCGGGGACTTAAAGTAGTTAGTCTGATTTGGAGCCGAGTCAAATGAGTGTCACATGACACTTTAAAGAAATTAATTAAGCATGTACTATGGTAAAAAAAATTACTGAGCAGTATTCTAAGTGTTTCTTTTTGCGCTATTTGCTTCATGAGCACCTTTTTTCGGGACAATTAATACATTTTGTAATAATACAAATACAGTTTAGTTCTGCACTTGACTAGTTTTGGACCTGGGGCCAATTCCCGGCGATGAAGTGACGAAAACTTGATCCGTTGCTGCAAACAATTTTTGCACCTTGACACAGTTATTATTTCAGACGAAATGGTTTTACAATGCAATTCCATTTGTTTTTATAACCCGAATGTTCACGAAACCTGCAAAGAGAACGCCGCGTCTATCGTTCTTTGCGATCGGAATGTTGGCAACTTTGCCGACCCGGAAACATCTCTGGCGGACATGCAATTTAAAAGGGGGGAAACCTTTACATTCAGAATTCTGCTCAGTATTTTTTCTTAGGAAATTGTGACAAACCTCAAAATTGATCGAGAGTACTCAAACTAAAAGGTAGAAAATAACTTGCATAACTCAATTCACTGTTTGAATGTGTCGCCGTCCCGCTGCCAGCGCCACGCTCGAACCGCGCGCCACGAGTCGCTTCCGGGGCGAGATGGCGGCGGCAGCCCAGTAGCAGCCGATTCGGCCCCTTTCAGCCTCCTTTTTTGCTATTTCTCTATTTCTGTACGGCTGAAGTTCATTTTCAACCTGTTGATTCGTTGCGCTCTATAAAATATTCCTACCGAAGCATTTTGACCATTAACGTCTGCATTCGGAGATATCAGAATTTTTTCAAGTCTCCAATAAGAGCCCATGTTAATTTAGCAATTTTGAACGGGCTATAGTTCGAAAATGAGCATGGAAACGGGCATGTTTCTGGCCAGCGCTGTCTTCGGGACGTTCTCATCTTCAATTTGAGCCTACTCTCGACCAATTCTGACGTTTATTTAAAATTAGACTAACTACTTTAAGACAAAACGAAAGCATTTTACTCTCCGCTAGGTGGCGCCAGTGTCGGTAAAAAGCCAACTGTTGTTAAAAACGTTTTTTCTCTAAAATTTTCAATATTTCCAACCCGAAATAGCTATTACTCAATTGGCTATGACGAAACACTCGCTCCCGTACCAAATTTATATCTGTAGCAAACGCGTGAGTTTAACAATTGACATTTAAAATTACCTCTCACGGTTGGCTTCGTGCCGTCGTTTCCTTGAATGCGTCAGGCCAGCTCAAGATGAGTGCAGGGAAGAGTGCCACTTTGAGGACATTTCCCTTTACTCAATTTTTAGGCACGAAATAGCCTTATAGTATACCCAGGATTCAGCCGGCCCGAGATTCGATTTGTGTGGCCCTTTATGCATTTCGGAAATTTTCTTTACGATTTTAATGAGATTTTGCAGACTTGTAGAACTTTGAACGCTGATTCTGATGCTGAAATCTGGTTAAGAATTTGGTGGCCAATTTTGTGAAAATTGCTGTCAAAATCGCCGTTTCCATGGCAAAACCCGACTCGTCAAAGGAAAAAAGGGAGTGGGGGGAGCCGAGCCGGACCAATAGCGGAGCTTCTTTTTGGGTCTGTACAGCTTACTCCAAAAGCTGAAAAAGCACGTTCGAAATGAAAAATTTCTTTGACTGCAGGTAGCCAAGATGCAACAATAGAATTGGAGTCATTTCAAACGTGGCCATTTGGATCGGCCGGCCGGCCAGTGACTTTTAATGAAGTTGTCCCGCACCAATCCCGCACCGCTTCGTTGTTGTTTTTGTTGTTGTTTTGTTTAAAATTATTGTTCCCCTTTAAACCAGAGTGAATTGAGCCATTTAACTGCGTACCTGTGCACATGCATCTGTGAATTATCTTTCCTTAATGTAATTTAAGAGTCGCTTTAAGACTTTTAGTCTCTTTTTGAATAAACTGGTCATGTAGCTCCTCCTTTTAGCCAGGTTTGTTGGTACTTCTGATTCAGTTAGCACCATGATCACTTCGCTCCACCTCGCGACTTTCAGTGCTCATGTTCCTCGAACAAGACTCACCCGCGTTTCGAGACCATCCCTGTCGAGTTTATAAAGTTTGTTAAGCCAACCGTCGTGGTGTTGCTACGTTGTGAGTGAGAACTATCACACAGAATTGAAGAAAACATGACTAGAGAAACGTGGCCTTTTGAAACAAGCCAAACAATTCAACGTCAGCAACAATGGAGGGGTGGTTTTAATTCGCGACTATACTCGTGTTTTCAGCTTCGCGATTTTCGCAAGGGCGCAGACGCTGACAAAATTGTTGCCAACCCGCGAAAATTAATTTACTGCCTTTTTTCTGCTCCCAAAAATTTTCATAATGATGGACTTCAAAGATGTTCCTTTGTCAGATCACTGTGGAATACATTAGCAATAGAACTTTTCGAATTTCCCGGCATTTTCATTTCTCTTTATTGCCAAGGAAAAAATATGACGGGTGGCACATCAACCACATTGGTACCACTGCCGTTCGTAGCTACCCTTGAGCCACCCCCTACCTTTTACATAACTTTTTTGCTTTCCCAACACTCCCACCCAAATTGACTTCGTGACTCCTAGGATTTCTTGAAATCGTATTTTTTTCCTAGACGGTCCCGTGGAGTACGTCTCTCCTTTAAGGTTCGGATGAAAACATTATTATTTCACCGAGTTATAGGAACACTTTCCTGCTGCCACTTTAAAACAAAACAATCTAAAAATTGAGAAAATTTTGTCCGAATTTTTCAGCAAACGACCTGCCTGAGAGGTTAAGACTTATGTTAGTCTGAAAATTTCAGACCAGGTTTAGTCTGATTTTTCAGTAGGATGTTCTGCATATCTACTTCAGACAAAAAAATAAAAATTTTCAGTTAATTTTTTTAAGAGTGCACCTGCCCGGCGAGACTCCGTGCGCACAGGCCAGTGTGAGTTGGCAGGCCTGAGGCCAGTGCGTAGTAACTCCGGACTCATAGGATTGTTGGCTGAGCGATAGCGAAGCCTGTTACTCCAGTGCGGTTGAAAAGTTTTTTTGCTTGTTGCTGTGTGGGTGTGTGTACACTACTCCTCCTGAACGGCTCGCCGATCTGGCTGAGATTTTGCAGGCTTATTAGGTATGTTCTTGGCTCGGCACACGCGAAAATTCACTATCCTAGCTCACGTGGTTCAGTTTTTATAGCCGAAAAACACCTAAAAACGGCGATAAATCGAGTCTTCTGCAGGCAGATCACTTCTGTCTTGAAGAAAGGGGTTTGGGGGCGGAGCCCCCCAGCCTCGAGAAGTTAAAAAGTTACAATGGTCAAGATCGTGATATCTGTTGATGAAACAACACTATCTAGAATGCGGGGGGGTCTGGGGGCCGAGCCCCCAGTGGCAACAAGAAAGAAGTCGCCGACGATGGACAAGCCAATGCCTGCCGAAGGCAGGCTAGCGCCGCAGGCCAAGGTAGGTACGCCAGGCGTGGATTGGAGGAACAGGCCGCGAGACATCGCGAAGCCTGTTACGACAAGACGCGGTCTGGCGTAAACCTACCTTGTGTTATTTGACCGAACTGGAGGAGCACGGCGACAAGGTACCGTAAACCGGGGTAACTTGAGACAATATTTCACGTTTTTTGGACCGTGTGTCTACAAAACTGCTCTCACCAACCTGAATCCTAACTATGTTTAATTTCACATGACTACAATCGGTTTGGAACCCATGAATTTTTTGGGGGTGACCTAAAATGAGAGTCATGGGCCTCTAAAGTTGTCTCAAGTTACCCCGTCATATGGGGTAACTTGAGACACACCTATAATTTACTTTGCTTCTTAACGGAAGTGAGGTTTTTGCCGGTCCAAACTGATTTCCTGAGACTTTTATCTTATTTTCAATGAAAAGTTCGACTTGTGGAATATATTAGAAGATTTTTGATCCTTATTTTAAGATTTTTTCATCAAAGTTACATTTGGTAATTTGAGGGATAACGGCACTTCAGAGCGCAACGATTCTCCCATTTCACATCCAGCTCTGTCAACTAACAAGGTAGGTTTACGCCAGACCGCGTCTTGTCGTAACAGGCTTCGCGATGTCTCGCTGCCTGTTCCTCCAATCCGCGCCTGGCGTACCTACCTTATCCTGCGGCGCTAGCCCGCCTTCGGCAGGTAATGGCTTATCCGTTGTAGGTTACTCCCAACATGTTGCATGCTAGCGGGCGCCCTCCTTCCCCCTTCATCCTAGATAGGGTTGCTTCATCTCCATAAAACCCGATCTTGACCCCCGTTACTTTTTAACTTGTCGAGGCTTAACTTGCCTGCAGAAAACTAGATTTTTCGCCGTTGTTAAGGTGTTTTTCGGCTATAAAAACTGAACCAATTGAGGTAGGGTAATGGAATTTTGCGTGTGCCGAGCCAAGGCTATACCCAACAAGTG